AGGAAAAGACCATTACTTCAGAGACACCACCCCTGCCACTCCACAAAACCACAGCTGTGTATGCATGTATGTGTGTATGTATGTATGTATGTCTGTCTGCCCGCCTGTCTGTATGTCCACAATGAAAACACTGTTATCTAGCTTTGTACCATGGTTGTTTTTTGTATTTGGCTAGCGAAGTAACCAGGGAGACAAACGTATAGACTTGTATTTTATAATGGTTCCTTTAAAAGGACTACGGCCTCGTAAATACAGGCTGTTGCGTTTGGATGTTTGGTTGTTTAGGTCCAGCAACCTACCTCTGAGGATCATTTTCCGCCGCCAGCATCTGCATTACGTGTTCATCACAAGCCCTTCAGAACATACCCCTGGACCCGGGTTTAGGGTTTAGGGTTTAGGGTTTAAAACTCGTGACCAAGGCACGCCACAGAAGGTCTGCGGGAACTGCACCCTGTCAGCGCTGTCTCTGGGAGTTTCGACACACGTAGGATGCAAGGCTTTCTTGGCTTTAGGCCTCGTATGCATCTGTCATGACTAAAGCAAGGCTCTCTACAAACCCCACGATCTGAATACATGTGCATGCCAGCTTGGGGGCAGTGATGTTTTGTTCGTTTGTAAAACGGCAGACAGCAGCAACAACAAAAAAGTAAACACAGGTGAAGAGCCTAAACCCCTAAACCCTCGCCTTAAACCCCAAATCCTAAACCCCAAACCCCGAACCCCCAAACTCTCTCGAGACTTTCAAGCGAAGCCCAATTGCCTCGGCACACTTTGGTGCCACTCCTCTTGGGCGAGCCTGGTCGCTCTTCTGGTTTCCGGGCTACGGGGTTTCCGTATGACCGGTTTAGTTGGGGGTTTAGGCTTTAGGGTTTAGGGTTTCGGGTTCAGGGTTTAGGGTTCATCAGGGAATCCAATTACCTACTGTTTTCAGGGTTGTGCCCTATAATCGTGGGTCATAACTTGCCCCTTTATTTGAAGGGTTCGGGGCTACAGGTAGGGTTTAGGACCGTTTAGGAGTTTTCGGGTGAACAGCTTAGGGCAATATGGGAGATTCGGTGAACAAGGGATCTGTTTATCGGAGCTTTCGGACCACTTCCTAATTAATGTAGGGGCCTTAATGATTACCTATACTATGTGGGGCGGTTCCTTATTACTATAGTAGTATAATATACCCCAAAACCCTATTCTAAATAACTAAGGTCTATATTCGGCACCCATGATTTTAAGAAGCTCGTAAATAGGGCCTGGACTATGCAATCGCAGAGTCCCCACGGGTAGCACACGACTAGATTCACATAGAAACGGAGCGATCGTGACTGTTATCACGACTATCATTATGCCATATGATGATTGTTCGGGATACTGCGGTAATTACGCACAATGGGGGGGGCATGGAGTTTAGGGTTTAGGTGGGAGAGTTCAGCTAGTGTCAATGGTCTCTAGGGCTTGGGGATAAAGGGTTTAGGGCCAATAGTGGACGTTCTCATGTAGGGATGAAGGCTTAGTAGTCTGCCCCTGGGATGAGGGCTTAGTAGTCTGCCTCTGGGAAGCTTGCACAGCAAGAGATACCTCAAAGCTTCCCGAACCCTAAACCCTAATGCCTAATCCCTGAACCCCTACATCCCGCGACATATTCTGATGTCATCTGGGCCTGTCCAGCCCGAGGCTCAGGCACAGAGTCAACCCGTAAATGAGGATTCTTCCCTACAAGCCATAATGATAGTACACACCTATAACTTCGAGCATATTCGGCACATGTCTGAAATTCTACTCTAGGCCTAGTCTAGGGGTAGTCTACCATTATGATCTGAGGTAGCCCTATTCCTTGGTTTAGGGGGTGTTTTGTTCTTGGGTAGAGCCAACAGGTGCTCTCAGACCGAACTCCGTATACCTCACGGGAATGCTAAACCCCAAACTCAACCCTCACACCCAAACCCTAAACCCTAAACCCTAAACCCTAAACCCTAAACCCTAAACCCTAAACCCTAAACCCAACCCTCACACCCTGAAGCCGTCGTCCGACCCAAAACCTGAACCCGAAGCTCTGAACCACTCAACACAACCCCTGAACCCATACCCTGAACCCAAACGCTATACAGGCCCTGATGAAACCTGGACATTTTCCTAGAGAATCCGAATGAAACTCCCGAAAAAGCCCCAACTCGAAAGGCTGAATCGACGTCTGATTTGATTGGATAGACTGTCGAGGGCATATTCGAAACCCAGGCACTGAAGCCTACGCCATCCGATCCAACAGCGTTATAAATAACATCCCAGGACTTCATGAACCCCAAACCCATACCCTCAACCCTCAACCCTAA